GGATTTAACAATAGTCAATGTCAACAATATATCATAAGTACTATTACAAATGGTAACAACAATGGCATATATGGATAATACCACATAGTATGTATAAAACAAAGCTGATATGCAAAAAATCTTAAATCTAGCTATAAAATTTCTCAATATTAATAGTATTCAAGCCAATGGGAATAAGTTATTGCTTATTTGCATCAATATAAGCAAGACAGATTGAGAAACAGAAGTTATCCTGATAGAAACCAAGGTCCTATCCATAAAAAAGAAAAAAACAGTACATATCTTAGGAATCTGGATATCAGAAAATAAAAAGAAACAACACCAAAAACAACTTATCAGAGAAAGGATAGATAACCATATGAACTTGTTAAAATTGAAGAAAATTACAGACAAACAAGTATGATATGTAGTTAATCATGTCCTATATCTAGCAATCAAATATCTACTTAACGACATGTCTCTTATGGAACAAGAATGTGACCATCTCAACAGTAAAATAGTAAAAACATTTAAATACAAATATAACTTATCAATGACAATATCAAATACAATTTTTCATGCAGATTTTAGGTACAAACTTTTTAACATGTGGGATAGACAGGTTCTAGTATATGGCAATAACTGGTACAAAAGAATTAATAATAATAACACCTATAGTAGAACAGCATAGATCAGATTACAACAACTCCAAAACCAATATTGGTCAAACATCTCGATCTTGGAAGACAAGCATTCCTACTAGACAAAAAAAAGAAAAAATCTCATAAATAATATCCTCAATATGCTTAAAATATAGAGCATCATGTTCTAGACCATAAACTATATAATAATATATATTCCCCAAAGGAAGTCAAAATGGCAATTAGAGATATAATCCAAGAAGAGTGATACAATCAAAATAGACAAGTTCTCAAAAGACGATAAATTTTATTTATGGAACAACTCATGAATGATGACATCTCAAGATTGTTAACTTGGCAGCAACTTAGAACTAAAAAAGGTAAACAAGGAAGAGTTTTGAGATGGTTCCAAAAATTATGTTGAGTTATATGTATAGATCTATACAAGAACTTCTATACAAAGATTACAGGCTTTCACTTTACTAATACCTATAACAAATTCTGCAACAATATTCCAGTTCTTCCTTCCTAGGCAAGGACAACAATTAAGTAGTTAACAATAGAATCAGAGGATCAAATTACTATATATAAGAAAAAGAAAATAATAGACTCTAACAGAATAATAGTTAATTATATGATATGAAATCCAATAACATCCCCCCTCTACAAATGCAAAAGATACCAGAAAAACAATCAAACTCTAAGAAATAAATATAACAAACAAGGACTATGTATTGCTGAGCTAATAAGGACAAGAGTCATCAATATAGTAGTAGACAAAAGCTCGAAATCAGCAATTCCTGAAGAAGAACAACCGCCATATAATAATCTATAGAAAACAGGTTGCACTCCATCCTCAAAAAAATAAGGAAAACATTATATAAAAGAGAAATGATGCTAAAAATTTCTAAGACAATGCCATAGATTTATCTAGATCCTCTCTCAGAAATGATCCATCTAATTAATAGCAGATTGAGTGGAAACAAAAAAATCATAGACCTGTTGATATACATAGCAAAAGAAATAAGTAAACTTAATAATCTAGAGATTTATACAAATGGTTCATTCATTAGACATTCAGAAAAAAGTAGAATGGGTCTAGAGTGGATTATTACAACTCAATTGGAAAAACAAATAGTGGAATTTCAAGTAGAAACATGTGATACTCCTTTATCTACAAAAGTGGAGCTAATAGCCATCCTAATAGCAATAAGTATAGTCAATATAAACAAAATTATTACCATTTTCACAGACAGTCAATCAACTATCAATGTCCTCAGGGATCTTGCAATCCAAAAAAAAAGATACCAAGGGAAAATAGACCATCTGAACCAAATTTTCAGCAATATAATTAAGGAAATACTAAAGATGAAAAGATTAAAAGTAAACTGAGAAAAAGTAAAGAGCCATGCAGTCATCCCAGGCAATGAAAGAGCAGACAAGTTGACTGCTACAAAACTAACAAATAATTCAAAATACATTATAATAAAAGAATATAATAATCAAGATTGAACCAAAAATATTTTGACATAACAATAAAACCCTTGACAAAACAAATACTTAAGAACAAATGAGCAAGCAAACGGAAAATATTACAAAGGAATCAGGACTAGTTAAACCAAAGGAAAACCAAAGAAATTCATTTAGCATTAACTTTAGAACTTTTAATATCAACTAGTATTATATCAACCTAGACAAATATGAAAGACCACACAGACCATTCAGAATTAAGACATAGATGGGGAACTACCAACTATGGACAAGTTAAACATAAGATGCCAGATATATATACTGATGACAAGTGCAAAGTATACAAATAATATAAAAAAAATAATGATTATATATTCCAATATAATATAACATAGACAAGATTCCAGGAAAAATACATTCAAATATTAACAAAAGAAAGCATGGCAAGAGCAGATGGAAAATAAAAAGAACAAATCCAAAAAAGGTGGAAATAAATACAAATATCACAAGGATACAAATAACCTATAAAAGCATAATACAAGATTAAATGGAAGGATATAGTTAGAGGAGTTATAACATATGACATGATTCAAGTGGCAGAATCCATAACTAAGAACAGATCAAAAGCTCTGGAAGCAATCAGAACAGCAATCCATAAGTTCTGATAAAGAAAATGGAAAGTATAAAAACTTAGGTATGACATCACAATCGAGTAAGAAAAGAGTCAAAACATAAAAAAAAAGCTTAAGCAACAGAAGAAGTGTGTTGGGGGCAAAATATATAACCAACGTATAACATTATCAAGTCCAGACTCACCAACTACCTGAGCCATAAAAAGTTTTAAGATAAATCCCATACTAGAACAGGCCCAGATAAATCTTTAAAAACACCTAAAGGACAGGTTCAAAGAATTATACATAGAACTAACAATCATTATCACTAAACATATGCTCAAAAATGGTTATTTTCTATATTTCTTTTTCTCTGTAAATATTAGTGCTAGTGGAATCTTGATATGCTAATATATATCAAGGTGAACTGCAGCAAGTCACAGGGTTTTTACTTTAGAATACTGAGTCATGGTGTTTTTTTATCTCATAAATATATGACCCACAATTAAATTTGCATACATAAGCCTGTATTAATGAATTAATAAAAACTCAATGATAGGACTTTGCCAGTTATAAAAAAAAATAAATATATTATTATAGAAATATAAATATATCAGATTTAGAAATATTATAATAATTTCTTAAAGTTTTATACTAGTGATAATTTTGTATGGCAAATAATAAGGCTTTGAGTTCAACAATTACTATAATTTTTATAGCAAAAAAAAAAATCTTTATAAAGGATTTAAAAATCTATTTAACAAAAATAAACTTTTTTAAAGATATTTTTTACAATATCCAGATACTGAATATTATTATATACCACTTTACTGAAGCAAATAAATATATAATAATTTAACATATATCAAAAATATTATTAAGCATTTTATTAAAAAAAAAAAATTCTTTTCACTGATTCCTAGTTTCCTTAAAAATTTTTTTTTTGATAATTTTATTGGAAACCAAAAAGCCAGTCTTCAACATCTAAGAAACATATAGTTTAAAACAACAACAGCTTGCCACCAAGTTTCAAAACACTATATTTTTTGTAATAAAAATTATAAGATAAGTATTAGAGAAAAACTGTTAATATATAGTTTTTCTTTATAGAGGAAAAAAAAACTGCCAGAAAACTGATTCATAGTAAGCTCCTGAAGATCCAATTACAACTCCACAAAGCTCTTGACCAGGAAGAAAATAATAAAAAATTATTTTATAATTTATTTATAACCATAGTTACATATAAAATATTTTATTTTACTATATAAATATATCTTCATCAACTAAGTAAAAATACATTTCTAACAGTATTTATATATTTAGTAAAATTTTTGCTAAATTTGAATATAATATATTGTTTAATTTTGAATTTTATTTTTTATTAATATCTATATTATAATTTTTTATTAAATTTTAATAAAAATTTTATTATAGATAGAATTCATTGTAACAATTACATTTACATGATTAATAAAACAAATTTACTTAATAAAATAAAAAGTTTTCTAAGAAAATTATAAATTAATAATAAAAATTTCAAATTTAACCATTTATTGATAACAATTATATTTTACTGGATATATTTTTAAACATTTGATAAAAATTAATAAAAATTAATATGCATGTAAATAAAAACATAATAAACAAAATTATATAATAGCATATTATCTATCAAAACATTAGTTTTAATGATATGTTATATATTATAATTAAACTCAAAAATTAAAAAAAAATTTAGTATAAATGTAAAGCTTAAATGTTAATAATAAAAATCTAATTTAATGTAATAAAACTTTCGTTATATATATATTTAATTGTGTAGTTTAACTTTAATTAATACGCAAAAAGTGATATAATTATTAAAATAAAATATTTAATATGCAACAACTTTTTACGTTTAAAAAAACTTTCGAATTTTTCGAAATCCCCGTGTATCAAATTTTCTATTATCGAGTAAACCGGGACCCGGAAAATTTTCAATTAACGCATTGATCATAATATTTGTACACAGTTTCCTTTACCGTTTCAGTATGTTTTTTTCACCCATACTTAAGAATAATCAGATCTATACATGTCTCACGGGTCTAGCTATTAGCTCGCGATTACATCTTTACTGTCATATTTGTCAGTTTAGGAAATGATATTAATTTTTTTAGTATATCAAATTCCATTATTGAAAAGACCATTCATTGGCCACCACATACGTATTCGCCGTTCAATTAGCGAGATACGCGCACTGAAGTGAAGTATTTGCTCCAATAACATAACAAATCAAAGCCATTGGCGAATTGAATAAAAATTAACTTAGCGCTAAATTAACACAAAGGAAAGTATCATTTTCAGACAGGGGAGACATCAGCAGCCTAACCGTTGTGACGATGGCCTGGTGTTGTTTTTTATAAAATAATGCTCCGTTTTAGAAAGTGTGGATGTGGTTACTGTTTCTACATGCATAAATTGTAACTAATTGTATAGTGAAAGAAAGAATGTAACCATACTTTTCTTTTTCGTGACTTTCGAACAAGACGTTTTGGTCACAACTTTCCACTTCATCTTATTTAAGCCAATGAACAAACAATCAGCTAAGGACATAATAAAGAGTTGTCATGACATGTTCTCAGCGTTTTCGTCTAAGAAACCATTCAACAACTGACTCGAGGCATCATCGAAAATTGGAGTCACGATGTGATTATTGCATCATTGTAATTCGGAGCCATCAAAATTTAATAGACATTATCTTGAAATAGCAAAAAGCTAGCACAAAATTAATATTAAAGAAACTTTATTTCAATCGTACGACAGATCAATGTTGAATCTCTAGTATTCCAATAAAGGATGTATCCTTCGGTCCAGTTCCAATAAAGGATATATCCTTCGGTCCATTCGGCTGAAAAAACTTTTCCAAAACCACCTTCAGCAAGGTAGGTTATGTTACGAAATTTTGAATATGGAATCCACTCGATCACGTTTTCATAACTGTTTGCATTTTTCTGAATTCCTCTTATAAATTCGTCAACAAATTCATTCTCGCTTTTCCAACTGTCAAATTCCTTTTCAAAACGGGATGAATTACATGGTTTGCATCAGAAAAAAGAATTCATCTTTTCTTTACATTGGTTACATTTGTCTACTAAAACAAAACAAATTTCAGAATATACCGTGAAAACTTAATCCTATGGGTCGTCGATAAAAGTATGATTAGAGTACCTTCGTAAGAATCCATCAATAAATTTAGAAAACGGGCCTACGAAAACTTACCGCCTGCAACATCAAAGTAATATAGTTAAGAAATGTCCGTAATAATTAGCAAAATAAATTTAGATATACGCTCGTAAAACTTGCCATCTGTAATAACAAGAATAACCAAATGTTTTTCGTAAGAATTTGAGGATCGAGCTAGATATATATTTGCGAAAGCCTACCGGATATGAGACAATCAGTAAGGTAAGAAAAGTCTTTTTGTAAGAATCGCGAATCAGATTAGAAAATTCTTGTGAAACTTACTCCCTATAAGGTCGATCACATCTGATCTGACGCGTACTGTTACTGCTTTTACGATAACGTATAGGAAACTTCAATAACGGTTTTGTCTACATTGTCGGGCCTATAATTGTCCTGTCTAAATAACAATCTCACATACACTATTTCTGCAAATATAATTCTGTGATGTCCCGGCCTTACATTATTTCTGATTGTATATTGTTCTAGGTGATGGTAAGACGCGATTTTCGCTATGCGAAACAAATGTTGCACAAAAGCCTAAAAATCATAACCCACGACGATAGATGACGCGATCCTAAAAATTCATAAAGTTTACTAAATAATAATAGTGTCAAGGTATTCATTCACTTAGAAATAAACCCACGCCTCAAGTTGAAATTCCTTTATTAGATGTTCTATTTTTTGTTTATTTAGGTTACGCGGAGTTGACTCAGTCCATCAAAACACTATATGATAAAGATAAAGCTGTTAACGGTTATTAAAACTTTCAAAGAAAGAACCAACATGCCAAGGTCTTTCTAGTAAATTAATTGAAAGATAATCTTGAAAAAATAAGTCTTTGGTCTGATTGGTGAGGTCTACACGTTAACCTTTATAAAATTGTTTACTCGGTTTTCATAAGATATAAGAATTTGAGAAGTATTTTCGGGTCACTTTACCATTGATGTCATTTTTTATTCTTCACTTGCTGAATTCTTGGCATCTCACTCCCTTGGATCTCGAAGAGGAATTATTTAAATTTCGTTGAAATTTATGCGACTATTTCTTTGTAGTTTGCAAATTTGTGAATTAAGTTGATTTAATATCTGTTTATAATTTCTTGACTAATTGTCTTAGGTAATGGTCGTATTTGAAGTTAATTTGTTGGTAAAAGATTATTTAATTACACGCTCAATATGATAATAAATATAAAGTTTCAAATTTAATTTTCACATTCCGCAATAAAGACGCGGATTCGATTGAAATTTTTACAGCCTAGTTGTCACCCAAGGCATGAACGTATTGCGTGTTCAGACTTAAACTTTTTTACGAATTTCATTTATTGTTGATGAATTAAAATAAGACAGTGTCCTCGCTTTGGATAGTTTCTCATACAATCTGCTTTGGAAAACTTCATGCGCTCGAGTCTATAATACTAAAGTATAGTTACGAAAATATCTACTTTGAAATAACGCTCATTCACATAATACAAATTTCAGTTGCCTCATTAGATTTCAACGCGATTCTTATTCACCAGTATACATATCATTAAGATTCAAATAACCCGCTGTTAATTTTATCGCTAAAAAATCAACTCCTTATTAATTCCTATGTGTATAAAAAAAAAAAAAAATAGAGAAACTTTATTAATTTATTCACAAAATTTAAGAATGCATGGTAAAACAATACGATTAAAATATCGTATTGATTTTAATGTGCACTATAACTATCAATCATATCTATATCAAGGAATAATTCCGTCCGAAGAATTAGCAAAATTATAGGAAAATAAATCATAGAGTAAACAGGTATAATTCCGGGAAACATGATACTAATCAATCGCCATTTATTAGCGAAGCCTCAGGTGCGAACTTCATCAACTTCGAACCCTGGAACAGTGCTCTGACCTCCATAGAATATAGGTAGATTGTCATCATCAATTAAGGTTGTCATGCAATCTTTAACGTTATTATGTGAAGCGACGATGAACTTCTTTTTAGTTTGCTCCGATAAAAATAGAGAGATAAACTTAAAAATATAATCGCCCCACCAAGGAACATTGATAAAATATTTCACAGCCTATATTAAAATAATTTATATGTCATAACTGTAGAGAAAATATGAACCGTCAAAAAAAAAAAAAAAAATTAAATATAAAGTAATTAATTTACCAAAAATTCCGGATAGTTATCCTGTGTGATCTGAATAACACTCTTACTCGCAGTTTTTGCTGTTTTATCGTAACTTATCATCGATACATTATTATAATCGTGCACTTGAATAATCTGATCTACCTTTACAAAATCCAAATGAAGAATTCCTTTTTCCATCAGTTGAATTCTCCATCGCAAAAACCGGTCCAAATTTCCAAAAACCTCTTGATTATCAAGCCCACCATATAAATTATAAGTAACAGGACGATTCATTTTATCGTGTTTGTGAATGAATCCAACCTTTGCGAATACTGATTCGGGAAAATTTTCGGTGAGTAATTCATCGGCCTTAAACTCAAGTCGCCATTTGAGAGATTTGATCAGCATTTCTTTGGCTAGGTTAACATCAAGATTTCTAAGGTATTATTATGTGTTAAATACATATTTCTTATTATTAACATAAAAATACAATTTTTATAGTACCTGGCTTTCAAAAACTTTATGAGAATGACATCAAGTCTTTCATCGGTTGATTCGTTGTTCAAAGAGACACCCCAAAGAGTATAATTTTCCGGAACTCCTGAATCTTTTATGATTTCAGGAATTAGCGCTTTAAGTTTGGCGACAGCTTCTTTTTCCTGCTCAGTAAATGTGGTCGCAATTGGATTGCTCGTGGTCTGCTCCGTCGTCATTTTTCGCTTTTCGACTGAACGAAAAATCTTGCTCTGTGTAAAGTCACTCAAATATAGGCCTGGTAATACAAGATTCCACGTAAGGTTAAAGATCCTCAGTTATGATGTAATGATGAAGATCAGTGTATACAAAATTGTAGACAGTTCATAATTCTTGAAAATAGTAATGAAGATTTTGAAATACAACAATAGTGTCATATTCTTATTTAATTAGAGGCAACTATATAATAAAATTCTAAAATTTATTTATATATCAAATTGAAAACTATTATTTGCAAAACTTAATAATAAACTATATGTTTCAATTCAACTCTTAGTATACTTAATATTATAGATTATAAGAAAATTTTCTTTAAAATTAAAAAAATAAAATATAAAAAAAAAATCAATTATATTATATTTAAACAAAAAAAAAAAATGATATTTCAATAATAATAGGTAATAAAAAACAAATAAAAATTACTTACTTGAGTAAAAAATATCAACAATTATTCAATACTTATGAAAATATAAGATTATAATTTCAACTATATATTATCACTAATCAAAATTATGTCATTTTGCAATTAAATTATTATTGAATTTAATTAAATTTAATAATAAAAATATTGTAAATTCTTTTTGATTACTGTTACTTGACATATTACTATTTCAGTAATAAAGTGACAATTAAAAATTCAACAATCAAAAATCTGACAATTAAAAAATTTGATAATAAAAAATTTATTAATTGAATTATTATCTTTTGCTTCTAATAGTTGGAATTAATAATTCATCAAATAATTCATTAACTATTTAGCGAAAATTCATTAAAAATTTATCATAAAATTATTTATTGACAATTCAATAAAAATTTGATATTAATTTATTAA